ACCCCCACCCCCACCCCCAATTATCATGCCTAAATCAAATGCGAGAATTACTCCCCATTAGATAAAAATTATTGCTAGAAATAAGTACTTGACATTTGAGAAAACAAAGCACCGCAAAACTGATAAGAATACCCATTAGCTTGTACATTAGTTGATAATCTATCAGTAGGGTACCATGAGCTAATGATCATCAACTATCAACTAATGACCCGTAAGTGGTAAGATATCAACGGGTGTGTACATTAGTTGATACCCAATCAATGAAAGACCCATAATTTGATCTCCATCAAATGATAACATATTAGTAGGTAGTTCAACAACGAGACACACGTTATATGACGTTATCCATCAATCTGGGGTTCCAGTTAGCTTACATGAGTTACATTTCACATCTTCTAATCTGTATTATAACTTAACTAACAACTTTATATTATTTGATAAATACAATTATACAAAATAGACCGATAATTTCATTAAAATCACCAACTGAGTTAACTAAAATGATGTTTAATTTATTTAGCAACACCCATTTATTTATTACCACTTATATAATATGAAAACTGAGCATTGCTAAACAAATCCTCATGGTCAAATCAATACCTTAAAAGGTAAAAAATAAATTTTAATTTTGATGCCTTCATTTTCCGCCCCAATATAAATATTTACAAATGGAAAGTTGCATAATTTAAAAAATAAGTAATTATTATTATTTTTATTTAATTAAATAATAATAGTATTCTTGACGTGAAGGTCGAGGTCGAGGTCAAGGTCTCAATGAGTAGATTTTGGTTCGAGTTAACGTTTAATCTGGTTTTCGCTTTGAAATTGTGCTCTGTTTTTGGTTTCTTCGTTGTTTTCTTACTACGTTTTAGCCTTTGTGTTGGGTTTAACCTCCTCGTTGGTTGTTGTCCTACTTTGTTTTTCTCCCTCGTTTTTGTTCTCTCTTTATTGATGTTTTGATAGGTTTACTCTGCTTTTATAGAGCTTTTTCCATCTCTGTTTATGCTTTTGTGTGTGTTGTTAATCTAATTTTTGTTGTGCCTTAAAAAAGAACTCTTGATAGGTATTATAAACATCATCTTCATTTTATTTAATTATATTAATTTTAATCAGTTTATTATTATATAGATACAAATACAAATATACATATTATTATATTTAAGTGTCATATAAATAGAATTATACATATTAATCGTAATTTGATCTATATTATATTATATTATAAAACATTTGACGAAAACTCTAAAAATATCATTTTTTTATACATGAAATACTGTTAATTAATGAATATTACTTAAAATTCAAGATTAGAAGTAATTGTATATAAGTACAACTTATTAAATCTTCATTTTTGAATTTCATGTAACTAACTGTAGATAAACATAATCAAATAGAAGATAAACATCTCATTTTAAATATAAAAACTCTAAAATATAATTACGATAATTATTGACTTCTAACTGAATTCTTAATTATTATCTTTATAAATAATTATTGACTTATAACAGAATTCTTAATTATTATCTTTATAAATAATTATAATATTAAATCAAAAATAAATTACTTCATTATTAAATATAAATTAAATTATAATAAAAAATGAGCAAAATACGCGAAATAACAATCTACTTTTACAAAAATTTTCATTATAGCATTCTACTTTCAATTTTTTTTATTACAACAATGTACTTTTAAAATATTTTTTATCAGGCATTGTTCTTTAAAAAATTAGCCGTTATAACATTGGATAACCTGTTACATTTTGAACAGATTTTTCTTTGTTGACGTGTCAAACTTAAAATGACAAGGAAGCAACATAAAATAACCTGTTACACATAAGATAGCTTACATGTCATTTAAAATAAAAAATCTAATTTAAAAAGGAAAAAAAAACCTTTCTTCTTTCTGATCGATTCCTAAAACCCTCCTCCTCTTCTTTAACCCTCGCTCAACCGTGTAAACCCTCAATGACCCTCAATTGTACATTTTTAAACAATTTTTAAAAAGGAAAAAAAGCCTTTCTTTACGATGAACATATGATGTTTTATGAATATTTTATTATTCGTGAAATAGTGATATTTTGTGAATATGTTTAATTTCTGATATTATATTTTTTAGTAAACAGATTTGATCAAATCTACAATATTTAAATGATAAAAAATATTAAAATTAAAAATACAATGTTGTAATAGAAAGTGGTGATGTTATAATAAAGTAATTTTGAATGTACACTGCTATAATAAGAAATGTCATGTCAGCATTATCGTACATGTGTACAACCTACGTGAACGATGTGACAAAAAACTCTGGTATAATGAGTAAATTTAATTTAAAAGATTACCCAATATTATAACGGGTAAATTTTTGAAATTACGATACCCTAATAAAAAATATTTTGAAAGTACATTACTATGATAAGAAAAACTAAAAGTAGAATGCTATAATAAAAAAATTTATAAAAATAGGTTGCTATTTCACATATTTTGTCCATAAAAATTGAAATAAAAAATGATACAAAAAACGAGAATATTTAAATAGTTAATTAATAAAGAAAAAACCCTAGGAATTGAGTTTTTATTCTCTTTGTTTATATACGTACACCTTTGTTTCGGGGTGGGATAGGCCCTTCCTGCTAATCCGGCCATGAATTCTTCTCAGTGGGCCAACAGGCCGGGCGTACGAGAACCCTAAACAAAAATGCAGAAGTGAGCGTACTCCAAGGCTGTCCAATATCAATATATATATTTTCAAAGTTTTATAATATTCTTAAATTTATATTTTATTTAAAAAATAAAAACATTATTGTTTTTCCAAATCATGTAATACCGTATTACATCTACAATAATAAAAAATAAAATAAAATATTAAAATCAAAATGTATTTCGTTGTATTATATGAATATTTTTATAGTTTATATAAATAAGTTTTTAAATACATGCATTTAGTTTTAAAAATAAACAAAATCAGCGGAAAGATGTTGAATGAATCCATGCGTGAAATTAATTGTGAAAAATTGGTGTTGAATGAATTTTGCCAAAAGTGGTAAAGAATGACAAGATGTATCAATGGACCATCTGTTTTGTGCATTAATAGCAACTCAACTCTTTTGTCAACTAGTTGGAGCTGAGTTGCAAAAATTATAATAAAAAAAAATATATATATATATATATATATATATATA